CCGGAGAGTTAGGTAATTTACCGAACGACCAAAAAGATTTCGGGTAATGAGCAGGTGTCCCAGAAATTATTATAATAACTGTAATTTTTATCAGGTGTTTCAGGAATTACGATAATGAACGATAACTCTAAACACCTATTTGATCACGAAATGAGGCAATTAATCATGATATCGTTTACGTTTAAATCGGCTAGCAATTTTGACGGTATATTTGGATATTTCCCTTATTTGGAATACCCTGCAAAAAATTTTTTTTCCGAATATTCCGTTATTACTCCATATTTTTTGTGAAAACTCCGAATCTGCAACATGATCGACAAATCTAGATAAGCCGAATAATTTCAATGATTTAAGGTTATAAATTCCGTGAATACGCAACATTTATGGACAAAACACGGAATATAAAAAATATCGGGCCTTTATCTGTAATTATTGTCATTTTGGGTCTTTATTTGTAATTATTTTCGTTTTTGGGTCCTTATCTGTAAATTCCCCTAAAAATAATCAAATTATTACGTTAATTTTGCTAATAAAAATTTGATCATTGTAAATTAATCAATGAATCTAACATAGTTTTGATTACATAGTTGATGTCCCACCCTATTATTCTACCATTTTCATATTATACCTTAAAACTAGTTACACTGACACATAAGATCTGGCCCTATAAGACGCCGCTGGTTTGTTACTATATAGTTTTAATATGCGTATGTACTACGTTTTAATGATTATCACTCTTAAATACATGCTAGATATATAGATAGATAGTCCAACTTTATTATGAGAGGACCTCTATAACATTACTCTAACTGCCAACCATCAGTGCAACACGGTCGGTCAATACATTACGACGAATTTGTGTAATTTGAATATTTTATATTTGATTGAACTATGAAGTGCGTCATTTATTCTTTGTTTTTGACATTTCTTATTGTAAAATCATACAAATAACATCTAACCCAACTTTTTGCGGTAAAATGGGTTAGACGTTATTTGTATGATATTACAGTAAGAAATGTCAAAAACGAACACAAAAATACAGTATGATCAACTTCATAATTGATTTATTATGCATACCGATATTAACTAAATATATCTAAAAATGAGTAATGTATTATCTGCAACTTTACTATATTTACCTGTCAAATAAGTACAGTCAGATCCCTCTAAATGCTACCCCCCCTAAGTGTTTGTCCTATGAAACACCTCATGTCTTCTCTTGGGCCCAACTAATATTACATCTATAGATTTTTACCTCCCTAAATGCAATACCTCTCTAAGTGCACGTTTGACTAAATTTTTATATATTGCATTTAGGGAGGTTTGACTGTAGTTTAAACTACTTTAATTATTGTAATAAATTATTTTGCCGACAAATTGTAATTCGTCAGTATAAATTCGTTACATCATTGCAGATATTGCATTTACCATATTCAGTCGAAGACTTAATACTTGTTTAAGAAATTGAGAAATTCATTCACGTTATTGTCTTTAATCATTGTAAATCCTTTTTAGGTTGATGGATTGATAAGTTATTTATTCGTAATATATTATATATAAATTAGGTAATCCTTTGCCATATTTAACGAAGAAATAAATGAGATAAAAATAAACAAGATTAACCAAATTATATTTACAATCGCAACGTGTTAGATTAAGTTCGAGTCTTTAGTGTTAACATTAGGCTAGTTTAAACGAGAATTAGGTTAGTTAAGTGGCACAAGTTACTAAAACTAAGTATATACAAATTAATACAAAGTATATTTTTGCCAGAAGTAGTCTATAATCCCATTTCATCACACATGGGTTAGTGCTTATGTACGCGTAAGTATGCATATGTATTGCAACTTTCTTTGGTTAAAACATACTCTCAACGACGATTCGTAACACGCTCGTGCAACATTAAACTTGTGAATTTAGCATGGTGGCAGTGTTTAGGGCTTGGCATTTATAAATCTTCTTTCAAAATCTGAATACCTTTTCGTACGTAGATAATATAATATACCAAATTATGTATCCACTATTTCGCCACAGGGTTCTTATAACTATTCTTGTTGGATTAATATTCTTCTTCATATTCTGGCCGACGAAAAAACAATTAAACAGGCCATTATATGTTACTTCTTCAATAAATAAAGGGGCAAAAACTAACAATGAACCAGGTCCAATTATTGATGCCATTAGGTCCACAATAATAACTGATGTATCTGGTAATCATAAAGAATATTTAAACTCTAAAGGTTATATTACCTTTCTTAGTGTCTTTAAAGAACAACATCAAACAATGCTCAAAAATCTGATCAGAAGTGCAGATATTGCCGTAGCAAATACAAGTGTTTATTCCGTCACTTTGAAACCACAATTACCGCCATCTAATGACCCACATGATTATATGTCATTATCAAGATATTTTTGGCCCGATCCAAAAAAACCTGACGGTTTACCTTACATTCGTAAAGATGGTTTTTCAAATCCTGAATTTTTTACTATTACGGATTATGTTTTATTAAGAAAAATGTTTAAAGATATTCAAGATATGGGATTCGCTTATTTCTTTACACGAGATGAAACTTATGTAAAAAAATCTATGTATCGTATAAAAGAATGGTTTTTGGATGAAAAAACAAAAATGAATCCAAATCTTAATTATGCTGGACTTAGAAAAGGTGAACTTGTAGGAGCACACACGGGTCTTTTAGATTTTCATCAAGTGTTTAGGTAAGATAGAATAAAAATTTCTATTGATTAAATTTATTAAGATCAATTAATTTATTAGTATTTTAATTTTTTTTATTAGGATGTTACAAGCTATTACACTCTTACAACATTCTCATATATGGGACCAATCAATTGATGATGGATTAAAAGAATGGATGTCTGAATATTATGTTTGGTTTTCCACTTCAAAACTTGGAAGACAAGAAGGTAAACATCCAAATAACCATGGAACATATTACGATGTGCAGGCCTTATTTTTATTGGATTATCTTGGTCGTCATGATGAAGCCAAAGAATATGCTCAAATTAGTCTCAAAAATAGAATAGATAAAGGTATTCTCCCAAGTGGGGAACAACCTCATGAAACAAAACGTGCGACAAGTTGGTTTTATTCAATTTTCAATTTACAAGCTCTATTCTTGCTGGCAGAAAGGTGTGACCGTTTTGGTTGTACAATTAACGGTCAGAATGGATGGAATTATGAAGGTCCAGAGAAACAAAGCATTCAGCGAGCTGTTGATTACCTATTACCATTTGCTCTTAGTGGTGGGGAAGGTTGGCCAAAGAAAAATATCAAAGGATTTGAGGTGAATGATTATGTAAAATTATTAGAATTATCTTATATAATTTATGGTGAGGAAAAATATCTTGAAGCTATTGAAGAACTAAGACCTTTGTCGAAAGCTGAACAAGCAGCAGGGCTTAAACTTGCAAAGTGGGAAGATAATTATCTTTGTAATTTAGCAATGATGACAAATAGGATGTTATGGAGCTGTTTGATGTAATTAATTATATAGAATTAATGTATTCGAAACAGTAATTAGCCAATAGTAGTAGAGTTAGGGTTTGGGTTACACGAGCTTTTATTTCTTTTTATTGGCTGTACTAAGTAAAGTTGTTACGTGTAACATGTTGTTACAATTAAAATGAAAATATGTAAAATATCATATAACGTACGTACGTACGTACCCCTGCACCTTATTTCGAAATACTCACTATTTCAAAATATTTTGAACCCGATGTATATGTTGTACGTCGGAATGGAATTAATTTAGATTTAGATACTTATGTTGAATCGGAATACCAAATATAACAAGTTGATACGAAATCTAAAAACAACACTAATTTTGATACTGGAATTGTAATAAATGTGCGATTAATGATGTAACAATAGTTTGATTACATCTCGTTATAATAAATCTACAATAGTAAATTCTTTTTTCATAAAAAATTTGGAAAATTTGTATATCTGAATATCTTGTTTACTTGATTTACTCCGGGTAAATATTTAATTCTTGCCCTAGTTGTCAAAATATTTAAATGCAAATTTATTATTATTTTTTTGTTTTATTCTTACACTTTATCTATCCCGATGATCGAATCTTTTTTTTATGTAAATTCGTAGACTTATGTAATTTGCCGATTTGTCGTAAACTGCTGACTCGAGTATCTCCCTATGATTTATACCCGGTCGATATTTTAGATTTAATCTTGTTTTATATCCGGATATTATTCATTGTATACTTCAAAGAGAAGTACCCCAGGGTATGTATATATGCACATCATATGTACAGTCAGACCTCCCTAAATGCAATGCGACGGAACCATATATAAAAATTTAGTCAAAAGTGCACTTAGAGAGGTGTTGCATTTAGGGAGGTAAAAATCTATAGATGTAATATTAGTTGGGCCCAAGAGAAGACATGCATTTAGGGAGGTGTTTCATAGGACGTGCACTTAGGGGGTAACATTTAGAGGGGTCTGACTGTATATAGCAGTTCGATAAAATTATTATATAAAACCTTATTTTACATTCGTTGATCATTCAATACAACCTGCTGAATTTCATAAAGATCGATGGTAAAATTACCACCAAGAATTGCAGGACGAACAGTTAGTGGAGCATACCCAATGGCTGGAATTGGTGGATCATAGAATACATCACTTATTGGGATATTAATTATGTATGCTGGATTACCCGGAACATTGCACCCAGTAGGGTTATTATTGCCTTTTTGCACAGTTTCAAAATACCACTATTTTTAGAATAAAATATTAAAAAATGAAAATAGTATATTATAATCTCTTAACAGTTTAACTTTATTGTTTGAGTTGGCATTCCCTGCCTTCACAACTTAGCTTAATATTCAAAAAGCTTTTTAGAATATGAAATATAAAATTATAAAATAATAATAAAACAGTTAAAAAATACACACTTTCATTGCTTGGTTAAATTTTCCTTATGCCTTTCTTGTAGATTGTAGTTCTATTCCTCTAATACTCATCTCACATATGGCTGACTCATTCAAAGTGCACATTTATTTTTCCATTCATGAACACTTTGATCAACTGCAACCTTACAAATTAATTGAAAATTATTCAAAATATAATTTTATATATAATTATTACTTTAAAATTGTTAAAATTTTTTTTGACAAAGTTAATTCCAAAAATATATAAATTACTTATAAACTTTAAAACCTGATGTTTTTTTTCTTACATATTAACTTTAAATTAAATTTTATAAAAAAAAAAAGAATAAAATATGTTTTAAACTGAATTAAAATTTTGTAATTTTGATACAATTTGAAAATGGATGTTCTATAGAATAGGTGGGCAAACTCCACAAACTCCGCAACTCCGCTATTAAAAAATTAATAATTACTAATCATTAGTGAAGCTTATTTCTTATATTGCCCACCTATTCTATAGAACATCCTATTTTTGCTATAATTATATATATAAAAAATTAGATATGAAATATTATATAACTGTTATATATATAATAGGTATTACACAGGCTATTGTGAATATCATGAATTAGCACAGCAAAGCTGTAGTAACACATGATGTTCACAGCACACATGTAATATCTGATATATTTCACAGTTCTTATACCTGTAACATTTCTGATTAAAATTTTTAATGATGATGTCATACCATGTAAAAATTTTTGATATCTTCATGATATTACATCATCATAAAAATATTATTAGAAATATTTATAGCAGAACATTAGGAGCCGTGAAATATTCAAAATATAATAAATATTAATAAACCCAATTAATGTCTGAAGTGAAGCAGAGGATATTCTGTTTTTATGACACTAAGTGATCTTTATTGTCGTGTGAAAATGTCTGTCTGTTCATTGATGTTAATTGGCTTGATATAGAGATATATATGATAATTGCATTTTTAGATTTATATTTCTTCAGATACACAATGCTATGTATAGTGTTCTGATGTTTGGTTCGGCCCAAACTTGGTTCAGGTCGAACCCGAACTAAACCCGAACCCGAACAAAAAATTTTGCAGATCTTTGAACTCGAACCAAACTTGAACATGATTGAAGTTCAGTTCGGAGTTTGATTCGAAGTTCACGAACATGTTCGGGTTTGGCATACGTATTATCTCTAGCATGTATTATCTCTAGCATCAGGCTATTTTTCTGGATTTGAGTCCATACATTGCTTCGCAAATTCAATATAGCAGTTGGGTGTTTCAGGTGCACAATCCTTTGCAAATTTCTATTGAAAGGTTTAAATCAAATTTATGTCCATCAAAAGGCCTTTGTCTAGTTGACATTTCTGTCATAATGACTCCGATATCATAAATATTAGCAGTTTGTGTAAGCTTTTGATCCAATAAAACTTCTGGTGCCACATAAGGCATAACACCATAAATATCACCTTCCGAACTGTTTTTATTAGATTTTTTAGACAATCATAGATCTGAGATGTAAGATTGTATATTTTCACTAATTCCTTTGCTCTGCAAAATATTGCCACTGTGAAAGTCTGCATGAACAAATCTTGTATCATGAATAAAAGTTAAATTGTAAGAAATGTCTGCAAGTAATTTTAAAAAACTTGTGAAGACTTCTATTATTGGCATATTAAAATACAATAAAGTATTCATTTCCACTCTTTTGAGTCAATTCGTATATTTTAAGTTTACTACCCTGTATGTCATATATTATATGATTCTCAAACTTTATTTAATAAATTTGATTAATTGGTTTATTTTTTATTTAATTATTGAATAAGTAGATTTAACTTACCGTACAGCGCACCTTATAGTATCCCGGGTATATACGGGGAAACTTGCATAAACCATGAATTGTACCCCCCCGGGTATTGTGTATGGTGGGGGGTATAATACTCGGGGAGTACTTTGTATGGGGGTATAATTCACGGGAGGTACTATAATAGAATCAATATAAAATGATCGATTATCGAAATGTTGAAAATTTGTCACGAAGTACTTATATAGACCACCACCATTTATCATATTGTAATTTGTTCTTGGGTATCCTGATACCTGTACGTATCTGAAAGTATCATTTGCTTATATATAAGCATTGTCAAAAGAAGAAAATATCTTAGAGTTTCTTTTGGCATCACT